TATACATTCCTCCAATCCACACTATAGAACCTGTCATTCCACCCCATACATCCCTTCCCATTCTACTCTATGCACCCTCGAATTCCACCCTACCACCCTTGCATCCCAAACTATATACCCCCCTATTTCTTCCTAGCGACCCTTCCATTCAACCCTGTACAACCCTCCTATCCACCCTAGACACCATTCTATACCACCGTATAAACTCTTTCCACCCTGCACACCCTCTCATTTCATCCTAGACACCCCTCCATTCCACACTAAACAACCATCCCTTCCACTTTATGTTTTTCTCTATTCCACGCTATACACCATTCCATTCCAACCTACACACTCTTTCATTCAACCCTACATGCCTTCTCATTCCACCCTATACATCCTCCCATTCCACCCTACCCATCCTTCCATTCCATCCTACACACTCTTCTCCTCCATTCTACCCACCTTTCTTTTCTAATATACACACCTTTCCATTCCACCCTGTACACCATTGTATTCCACCCTACACACACTCCAGTTTAACCCTAGACACCTTCCATTCTATACTAGACACAGTTCCATTCCATCCTAAATATACTTCTATTTCGTGCTAGACACCCTCTCATTTCATCCTACAAACCCTCCCATCCTACCACCATACACTCTTCCATTCCTCCCTAGACTCCTTTGCTCCCCAGACATATCAATGCTATCATACTTTTCTTCTGATCTACCACTTGAAAAATTTTTTGATTTTGGTCTTGAGACTGGATGAAGAAACTGAAGGTCCATATACTGACTTATGCACAGAGGGGTCTTCAGTATTTCTAACGGTGGAGGACCTTCAAAGCAGTGAATCTGGTTGGAAGGGGATAGAGGAAATTTGAGACTGTTGACATCACATAACACTTAAATCAAACTCAGAAAACATCCATTGTCCATATCAAAAAATTCAGGGACTGGTGGAGATTATTGGGGAGTTCAACTTCTCCCCTCTGCATTTCCCCTTGGATTCACCACTGTCTGCAGAGAAGAGAGAATGTTTGTTAGTAACCATAGCTCATGTTTGTGAATTGCTGTACAGTTTAAGAGCATTTTCACATGCACGGTCTTGGCATTTCCCAAACTTCAGGCCTCCCTAATCTGGCTTGATGATTTTCACCATATCTGTGGACCATCTGGACAGTTTAATTCCTTAATTTTTTCCTTTAAATTAAGTTTAATTCATTTAAAAATGTAATTTTTACATTTTTACCAAGCAGTAATTTCTGCAGAATCGTGAATTCAGTGTGCTGGTTATATTTTTTTCTAAAACACAGCAAAATAAGTACAGATCTTTTAAAAAAATGTTGTTCATGTGTTACCTAAAATCATCTCATTTATCCCCAGGGCTATGCGACACCACTCTTAGGAAATCATTGAATTATTTGATTGTTACTACAATCCAGTTAGCTGTATACTCTTAAGCCCATTTTACAGAGGAAAAAACAAAGACCTATGGAGATTAAATGATTAAATATACATAGATAGAAAGTATCAGAACTAGGAGTGGAAAGCATACTTTCTGTTTCTAAGTCTGGAACACATTCTCACTTCCCAAAAGAATATTTTATCACCTCCCCTTCACATCTCAGCCCTCCATGTCACATCTCCCACCACCATGATCACCCAAACCTCAAGGTCTGACAAAGGTCTCTGATAATGGGATTGCTAAACTTATTTCCTCAGTTCAAGTCTTCTTTAACCTTTCTGCTGAATTTGACCCTGTTGACCACTCCCAGGAAGTCTTTATCCCAGCACTGAGGTCCTCTGTCTTCTTATCTCCTGCTTTTACTCTGCCCATTCCTTAAAGGTTGGGATCCTTGGGGTGCTCTGTGAAGCCCCTCTTTTTTCCACCCTCTCAGGCAATCTCATCTGTGCCTGTGGCTCCACCCACAACCTCCATGCTGGTAATTCGCAAATCTAGATTGCTTGCTTAGACCTTGCACCTGAGGATGCTGGCGGCAAAGAAACCTTTACCCCCTTATGTCCCATAAGGACCTCAGAGTGAACACAGCTACAAAATAACTCATCATTGTCCCCTTAGACCTTCTGAGAAAACTTAGTTACCCCCATCTCTTCCCTCTTCCTCATCCTTCCCATCAGTGCTCAGCATAGTCCTATTTTATCTCTAAAATGTCCTTCTCATCCCAATTGCCACTTCTTTCATCTCTAACTTAATCTAGTGTGATAAAATCCTCACTGGTCAGTCTGCCACCAACCCCTTCCTCTGTAGTCCTGCCTCTATACTACTGTCAGAGTGAGCTTTCTAAAATGCAAATTGGTTTAAATCTTCCAGTGGATTTCTAGTTCCTTTAGGATAAAGTCTAAATTCCTTTCTGTCTGCATATCCAACCCCTCTCCATCCCACAGGCAACGTGAGCAAACACCACTCCTTGAAAACACCACTCAGTATACAGGATAGTAAGAAAAATGTGAGCACCAGAATTCTAGCCCTGAAAATTTCTAGTCATATAACTGTAGAGGAGTTGCTTAATGTCTCTTTTTCTCTCTGGTAGATTGCAAAAAATGACCACAAATTCTCCCTGTCACTTTGTTATGGGACTTTGCAGCTCTTCCCACGCTTTGAACCTGAGTTTGGTCTTAAGATTTGCTTTGGCCAATGGAACAGTAGAACATATAATCTCAAGCAGAGACTTGAATAGTTCTTTTGTTTTGGGACTTATACTCTTCCTGTGCTTGGAACCCTGAGACCACTATGTGAATAAGCTCAGCCTAGCCTGCTGGAACATGAAAAGCCTTGTGGAGGAGAACTGAGGAACCTGACCAATAGCTTGCTCACTTCCAGACATGGGAGTGAGGACATCCTGGATCTTCCTACCTCCAGCTGACCTATCAAACAAATGAGAGAACCCAGTGGAGATCATCTAAATAAGCTCAAACTAGAAGAATCTCCCAATCAACCCATAGCATTGTGAATAAAATCACATGGGTTTGGTTTGGTTTTGCCCTTGGGGTACCTGAGAAATGATAACTTGGTGTAGTTTTAAAAGTTTTAATGGAAGTACAATTTAATTCCATGAAAGTCATCTACTTTAAGTGTACAAGTCAATGAATTTTAAAAAATGTATAGAGTTGTGTAACCATGATGACAATCCAGTTTTAGAACATTTCTATCACTAAAAAGTTGCCTTGAACCTGTTTGCCGTTAATTGGCTCTGCCACCCTAGCCCCCGGCAACCACCAATCTGCTTTCTGTTTCTATAGGTGTGTCTTATCTAGACATTTCATATAAATGAAATCACACAATCTGCGGTGTTTTGCATATGGCTTTTTTCAGTTAATGTAACATTTCTGAAATTCAGCCAAGTTATAGCATGCATCAGTAGTTTACTATTGCTGAATAGTAATCGATTACATACACAAACCATATTTTGTTGATCCATTTGATGGACATTTGGATTGTTCTCACTTTTTGCCTATTACCAATAGTGCTGCTATGGACATTCATGTTCTCTTCTCTATGTGGACATATGTTTTCATTTCTCTTGGGTAGAAGCCTAGGAGTGGAATTGCTGGGTCGTATGGTAACTGTATGCTTAACTTTTCATGAAACTGCCCAACTGTCTTCCACAGTAGCTGCACCATCTGACATTCTCAACAGCACATATGAGGGTTCCATATTCTCCTTATCCTAGTCAACTGGAAGCTCTTTTAAGCTGGGGTTGCTATGCTGTGAGAATGTGAGTCTGCTGCTGGTAACAGCCATTCATTCGCTGCATCATTCATTCAGCAAATATTATCTGAGTACCTACCATTACCTGGTTGGCTCTGGCCATGCAAGAAGACCTTGGCAACACTGTAGGATGGTAAGAAACAGCACTCTAGTAACGTTGTTTTAGCACCCTGGTCCTCTTCCCCCTGGGGCCTTTCAGTTGCCGGAGACAATGAATTCCCTGATGGCAGTTTGAATTGGATCTGCTGAACTGACAGGGCCTGCCAGTGGACCCCTCCAACCCACTGGGACCCAAATAAATCTAGGTGATTGTTCTCCCCCCATTTCAGGAGGGAACACCAACCAGTCTTGGAACCTCGGGTGCAACAGAGGTGCCAGGAGATGCTGGTACTCAGCAGTTTGTGTCGGTACCAGCCGAAACCAGAGAGGGCCTGGTGGATGCCAAGAGGAGCCCTAAGTGGACCAAAGGGACAGAGGGGAAGTCTGAGAAACGGGCTCAGGTCAGGCGGGTCTTTGAAAGGATTTATTCCTAATCATATGTGAGATGCTCAAAAGGCTGGAACGCTGCTTTTATGGGTGAAGAGCAAGAAGAGAAAACAGGATGTGTAGATTCAGATGGAAATGGAGAGAGTGAGAAAGAGGAAGGCAGAGAAATGCACCCACTCTTTAGCCGTGCTGTCTCTGGACCTGGGGATTGTGACAGGATTTATTCTGTTAATTGCTTTTGCCTATACTGATTGCTAATTTTCAAGTTTTCCACAAAGATTATGTGTTAGTTTTTCATGCATTAAAATTAAAAATGTGAAAAAAGACCCCGCAATAAACATTTTTTTTAAAGGAAACATAAAGCCCTGGGGAAGCTTCCACACAGCTGGGAGCCTGGTCGTTCATCAGCATTTCAGCTCCTTGTGTGCCAAGCCCGGTTTCGGGCCCTGGGGTCCCAGCTGCGGGCTGGCGCTTCCTCCCCCACGTGACGCCTGTCTGGTTGCCATGGAGACAGACCTGGCTGCGCAGACTTGGGAGCTTTAGGCTGGAAGCTGGAACCCGGAGAGCCAACCTCTGCAACAGGCTGGGGGCGGAAGGAGGAGCCAGGGGAAGCGGCGCCTCAGCTGAGAGGCCTGCGGACCCTGCAGAGGCCCCCTGCCCCGCTGACTCCGCCCCCCGCCGCCCCCACCCCAGGTGGTAGAAATACAGCCGCAGCCCCGGCCGCCGCCCACAGCGCTTGGACCCGGCGTGGACTTGACCTCCCAGACCCAGCTGAGCGACTTGCCCGCGCTCCACGCCCATGGCGGACGGACTGTTTCAGCGCAAAGCCTGGGGTCCCGAGCAGATTCGCCCGGACCCCGACCCCGAGTCCGAAGGCCTGTTTGACAAGGCTCCCCCGGAAGAGCCCCCAGCCGCCCGCGCGGGCAGGAAGGCGGGTCGGCGCGCCGGCGGGAGGGCGCAGGGTGGCCGCGCCGGGCAGCCCCCGAAGGCCGCTGCGCGCCCCCCGCCCAAGGAGGAGCAACCTCCGCTGGACGAGGGCTGCTATCTTGACCATTTTCCGCACCTCTCCATCTTTATCTACGCGGCCATCGCCTTCTCCATCACCTCCTGCATCTTTACCTATATCCACTTACAGCTTGCCTGAGTGGCCAGGGCGGGGCGGGGTGGGTGGAGGCCAAGCGGGGAGGGAAAGGGAAAAAAAGGGCTCAGCATTTTGTGTTTTGGAGAAGCGCTGCACCTCCTTCATCTAGCTTTCGATGCTTGATTCTTTCCTTCTCTGTTGTCACTGCCTCTTTCATTCTATCATCCCCTCTGTTGTTACTCTCTAACTGTCCACCAGTAGGAAGGTTCAAAGTAGTTGCCAGCAATGAAATAAGGGTGCTATTTGTACCTGCAGTTGGGGGCGGGGGCAGTTAGCCTCCAATGTTTAGAATTCCATGGTGCGATTGAATCCCGTTTATAATTAGGATAATGTCCCTGGAGCCTACCACTTCGACGTGGGGACACGCCCAGGGAACTCATCGTTTTGTGTTTGGGGAGCGCAGAGCGCGTCCAACCTTCTGTTCTTTAAGGGATAAGCCAGACCCGGGCCTGAAGCCTTCCAGAGGGGGCCAGGCAGGGAGGGTCGGCGCCCTGGCCCAGGCTGGGCCGGAGCCCTGTGATGCTGCATCGCCCCCAGGAGAGCCGGCTGTGTCCCAGAGTTGGTGCGGGCCGAGGGAGAAGGACAGGAGCGTGCAGCCCCAGGACACGGTGAGTGGCGTTTGTCTGCGTATATTGGTGCGCCCCCAGGGGCTCGGGCTGAATGTACGGTGCGTTTTTCTGCCTTAGACTTTGCTGTTGCTTCGGGGCAGAGCGAGATCCGTAGCCAGAGGAGCTGTCCTGCCGGGAGGCCACGTTCGGGGTGTGTCCGGACGTCGTGGGACCTATGGCTACAGACCCTCCTGGATGCAGGCCCCGAGCTCGCCAGCTCCGCAGGATGAGACTCTAGGGACCCTGGCTGGGGTCCATGAGAAGACTGTCTTTGGGAACTCTGGGGTGGCTTCATTTTGGCCCAGAGCTTTTCTGGAACTGTGGGACCCAAGACTAAGGGGCTGAGGGGTTTGTCATTGCCAAGAGTCTGTGCTTGAAAGCCACCCGACCCCTTGGGGTTTGTCAACTCAGACTCAATACCAGAACCCACCTTGGTAGGTTATTCACCCACCTGCCATCTCTGTGTACTCATGAATGTTAAATGTCAAAACGCGGCTCTGTCACATTGCATATACTTTACTTGGAAATGTCTGTAATTGTGGTACCTGTGATGGAATAAATCACCTCCTTTTCAGTCTCCTCTATATTCATCTCTCCATTAATTTCCAAATATGCAGTGGGCCCTGTCAAACTTCCCAGTCTGCTCCAAGTGTAACCCCATGATCTTCACTACATCCCTCCACTTTAAGATACAGCATCTCCCTCCAATAAATAGCTATACAGACCCTTCAGTGGCATCTTTGTCCATATCAGGTCCATACAGCATGCCAGTATCTGGTTCTGCCATCCCCTGACAGCAGGTCTGACACTATGCCAGTGTGGCATTACCTATGGCTCCTTGGGTATTTAGTCCCCTCTTGCCTCCATTATCAAGACACTTCAGGCCCAGTACAGTTGCCTGCCTAAGCTCTGAAATTCACCCCGATTCACCAAGCCTGGGTCTTCGTAAATTCAGTGTTTTCCAATATCGGGGCCTTGCTGTTTTTGAGTTCTGACTTCATAATCCCACATCACTATATTCCTTGATACCTTGCCCCTCTACACCTTATTTCAGTGCTACAAGTATGACCTCCACTGTTCCCCAATGTCAGCCTGTGCTTTATAGCCACAGTTTACAATAATTCTCCCCGACAATCAGTGGCACTATTCTCCAAAATTGTATCTCCAAGGTACCTCAATATGTATCTCTCGCTATTTTCCAACTTTCAATCTTGGATACTGGATTCTCTACTATCTCTTATTATTGACTACCCACTGAATCCCAATATATGGCCTGGTGCTCCCCAAACAGTTGATCTCATTGTTTCCCATTCACATATTCCCTATTATCTCATTATACAGTCCTTCAACGGCTACTCAATATTCTTCTCTCAGCTAATTCCCTGATACTAGGCTCCTCTCCCTATTCTCAAAATCATAGTTCCCTGTTCCTCAACATTTGATATATTGTTCCACAATATTGTGACCCTTTGTGTGCTACCAAATCTGGGCTTCCATTTTCTACCCCAAATTCCAATATCTGGTTCCCATGGCTATGCTGCTATTAGAGCCCATGGCCTCTACAATCTTAACATTGGCTTTGATATTCTCGTAAATATCCAGCCCCATTTGATCCCCTTATTTTAGGACTGTTTGCACTGTTTCCCAAAAATGTGAATACTGTCTCCTCAATATTATAATCCAGTCTTCCTTAACATTCACCTCATTGCTGCTATCCTAAATTTTAAGCTCAGTCCAGCCCCAAAACTCACTTTCTTTCCATACCCCCATATTCTGTCCTGTCAGCCCATTACTTTTCCTCATACCTGATACTCAGCTTTGAAATTTCTGGTTCCATAGAGCTCCAATGGTTTGGCTTGCATTTTCTAACCAGTGTTAAATCTCCGCTACTCTCACATCACCCATGTATGTGTCCCTTTAGCATCGTGATGAGTCTGAGCCAGCCAATTTTCCTCATATAGTTTTAAGTATTCACATAATCCCTCCACTGCCCACCTAGTTTCACAGGTACTGCTTCCTTATATTGAGCTCTTAACTGTCCCCCAATTTCTGGGCTTCCAATTAGAAGTTCCCTTGTCCAAAATATCAAGCTTTTACCTGTTCACTCGATATTAATGGACAGCATTTTCAGCGTTTGACCATAAAAACAAATGGGCCCATTTTTGGTCCTTGCACCTCGTCGCTCAAGAATCAAATTCTAGAGAGTCTTACTGGCCTGGCTGGGGTTACGTGTCCACCTTTGGCCAAAAGACAGAAGAGATATTTTATTTTAATAGGCAACCACATGAAAATAGCATAAGAAAGAGTTTCCCAGAGGAAGACTGAAATGCCATGGATGCTACGCAGGTGAAAAATACCAGACGAGATAAACTGACTTTCAGCAGATCACAAAGAATGAAGGCAGAGCCAGTTGTTTTGGGCAATTGTCCTATTATATATTGGGTTGTCAGTGGTGGGTATAGAGACAGTGAAGTGAGTGGTAGTTTCTCAGTATCTTGGGATAGCGGTACGTTTAAGTTGTGGGAGACAGTGGAACCTGATATTGGGAGAATAACGGATTAATTTTTTAACTGTGTCATTGCCTATTAGGTTCCAAGCACGCAGATAGTGATCAGCAAAACAGACACAACCCTTGACTTCTCAGAACTCATTTTGTTAATAACAGAACTTACCACGTATCAGGCTTGGTAGTTTTGTTTTGTTTTAGACAGTCTCCCTCTTGTTACTGGCTAGAGTGCAGTGGCATCATCATAGCTCACTGCAACCTCAACTCGGGCTCAAGCAATCCTCCTGCCTCAGCCTCCCAAGTAGCTGGGACTACAGGCATGCACCACCATACCTGGCTAATTTTTCCATTTTTTGTAGAGATGGGGTCTCTTTTTTGCTCAGGCTGGTGTTGAACTCCTAAGCTCCTTATCTCTAGATCCTTAACTTAATTACACCTGCAAAGATCCTTTTTCCAAATAAGGTAACGTTCACATGTTCCAGGAATTAAGACATGGACATATCTTTTGAGAGATCACCATTCAACCCACTACAGTAGATTTTGAATAAGCTACACTGGTGAATAGAATGTTTTCATCTGGGTAAAAAGACATATTGAGGAAAGAAAACACCATGACATTACAGATAGCAGAAAATAAAAAACCAAAGCTGTTAAAACACATACATTTAATGTACAGGATTAGAAAAATGATGTCTTGATAATAAACATATTTCAGGTAAACATAAGCTTTCTAAATCTACATATAATTCAATGCAAATAAAATTAAACCCTAAGTTACTCCTCCTTTACATAAAGGAGAAACGTCAAATCTGTACTCTAAGAAGACATGGAGGGCAAGCAATACCTTAAGAGCAACCATTACTATTTCTTCCATTTCCGTGAGTGATCTAACATTTTAACATGGACCAACTACAAAAAGAAATATTAGACTCCATTGAATTTAAGCACAAGATGCAGCTAAAATTTCTCCAAGGGTTCTAAATATTTGATGATTATGACTGTGAATAAATAATTAAATATTGGGTATAAGGCAGATTCCAAAATTAACTGAAGTATGAAAAGAAATTGGTATAAATACCCAACAGTCAATAAATATAAATTTCACTATTGGGTATGCTCCAAGCTTCCTTTTCTATTCCAGATCTGCTCCTTTTGTGTCCAAGGTCTTCTCCTGCTAGACTCCAAGATAGTAAACTGCTTAACATTATCAGGGCCTTGGTCTTGGGAAGGATTTATTTTGGAAACAAAAATAACTTTCTTCTTTACCAAAGATTGAGGTTGTCTTTTTTGCTCTTGCTTCTTTCAACTAGTTATCAACTCCCTCATGTATGAAAAGTTACAGGGCAAGAGCAAGCACTTTATGTTGGCTGTCTCAATAGTGTAATAAGTGGTAAATAAAGGAGCCACCCATTTAACCCTTTTCTCATTTGGTCTCATTCGAAGAATAAGCCAAAAGAATCAAGGTCACAAAGGGCTCATGACCAAGGTACAACTCTACAAATATCTTTGGCCATGGCTTATTTCTTCAATCATGCCCAATCATGCCCCCAAATAAGCTGTTATTGAATCAAGAATCCCTTCTCACCTGTGAGAGGCCTCTAAAGAACAGAAGCTTCTGACTAGTTCAAGGTAGTACATAGATACTTCAGGAGAGTGGACCAAAAAAGAGGAAGATGTAGAATACAAGAAAGAGTGAACAAAGAAAATCTAATACAATATACAGTTCACTTGAACAGTCATTGGTGTAAATTCCTTATCATTCTTTTTGACAGGCTCTTTATTTTTACTATTTAGAAATTAAGATATTTTCAGTCTTTTGCTTTCCTTTTCTACGTTGTCTCTAATGTTCTGTAGTTTTCTAGAGTTCTGAACGAGGGACACCAAACTCTCCCTGAAATCACTAGTCCCATGATCTCTGCCAACATTTTGAAGCTCATCAAACAAAGTCAATGTCTGTTTCAGTTTGGCCTCAACAATTTTTTGCTCTTCTAATTCTGCAAGAAGGGCCTGCTTAGTACATACTTCAGTCTTGTACTTCTCCTGTAACTGGTCAATTTCTTTCTGGAGATGCTGAAATTCTTCCTCGGTATAAGGATGTATCTCCTTACATTTATCTTCAGGAAGCAAGATGTTTGGGGGAATACGCAAAATCAACTGCAAAAACAGCTGCTCCATTTTGCCAAAAAGGTTATCAAAACGTCCTTTCATGAAGCTAAGAAACTTCTCTGTGCATTTGCGAATCTGGACTGGGCTGATCTCACAGTTTGGGATGCCTTCCAGCTTCTTCAGAATAACCTGTTCAACAGCCTGCATCACTTCAAATAGGTAGTCTTGAAATGCAATGTAGATCCTGAGCATGCACGTTTGTGGTGTGAAGCCAAAGAACTGGGCCTCATAGGTCATTGGATCAACAGACATCTTGGCTTATTTTGCTATGTTATTTTCTATTGTGTAAAATCTGCAAATGTAAAAAGAAAAAAAATTAATTTGGATAAAAAAAATCTGAGGAAAGTAACAAATCACATCACAGATAGCAAACAAACAAGGGAGCAAATAAAAAATAAGTCTGTGTTCCTTGATAACTGATGCCACTTCCAGTCTTACTGTCCACAACAGGATACAAATCCTTACCTCGCTGAGGCTCTATACCCTCCCTATCTCCCTCCTCATTGTTCAATTCCCTCACCTCTGAGACTTTGACATATAGCTCAATTTTCTGAATTTTTTTTTTATCATCCTAGACAACTTTGAAGTCTAGACAGATGGCCCAAGCAATGCCCTAGAGACTCTCAGTTTCTTGAGCTTCAATGAGCTACATTCTCCATCTTTTAGCCACCTGGCTCTTGATAATTATAACTACTCTTCCAAATTGCTCCTACTTTTGGACAATCTCCTATGCTATTCTTCCAACAACTCTCATTTGCATACTTACATTATACCTTAGTCTTCAAGATTTACAGGCCTCCAACCCTCTCTTTCTTAATCTCAGTCTCTTCCACTTCACTTCTTTCCCCATTGATTTTAGGCCCCACGATTTATCACTTTGACCACTCCCTAGCCAATGTTCTCAGTTCTCTTGTCTTCCAACCTAGCCATCTGAAAAAAACCCCAGTTAGAAATGAGCAATCCTCTTGTCAGCTTTAGAATCCTGAAATGTTTTTTCTAGGGTCTAGCAGTCATTCCTTTTAAAGCTAAACATCTCCCTGTCACTGTGTGAGTTTATCCTAGGCATCTTTTTCCGAGATGTAACTATATGCTTGTCACAGAAATAAAAGAAGTTTTATTGTTCCTACATTTAATCTTAGCCAAAAGGCTGAGAAGCAATAGAAGTTTTATTCTTTCAGATAAAGACAATTAGTGAAAACAAACTGCTATTTCAAATACCAGGTGAATTTAGGATGGACTTTATGAAGAATTTGTAGCAAATGGTGCAAATCTTCTTATGGGAAGACAAGGTGCTGTTATGTATGTAATGGCTAAAAATAAGAGTGGTTATAACTGCGCAGCTGTATAAATAGGGTAGAATTTATTTATGGTTTTGTAATCTCATTCACAGATTACCTATAATACATTGTAATCTGGATATGCTTATTCAATAATAGAGCCGCTCTCTTTTCTGTTTTGTGGAGAGGATTCTCTAGGTTGGCAGGATTTTTATTTCCTCAACATTTCCCTATGCCTCCAGGATTAAGTTCAAACTCTTTTCAACATGGCTTATGAGGGCCTTAATCACCTGACCCTCACTTATCACACTTTGTTTTTCTTTTTAAGTACTTACAAGTACATAACTGAGTTGATAATCTTTCCTATTTCATAGCACTCTATTTTTGGTCCATGCTAGTTTCTCCCTTATTTTATTCTTCTACCTTTCATCTCTCAACCTTAGTAGTAACCTAATTTAGCATTTTTAATGTATGCCTTTTCAATTCATCTTTAACAGTTGTTAGATATATATTCTTGAAAAATATAGGTCTATGCATGTTTACATTTTTATGTTGGTGATAACTTCATGTTATACTCAAGTTTACTTCATTGGTTCTAACTGAGGTATCCCATCAATTTTAGCACTTGCAAATCCCACACTTAATGTGTCCAATCTCCTTGTGACAGACACCTAGTTTGCTTCCAGTATCTTGCTACCAAAAATGTTATAATGAATACCCTCCTATATGATGTCTTCTTAGGGACCTGCAGGGAATTTACACTGGGAAATAATTATTCGGCCATAGTTTACTCATCATAATGTCAGTAAATACTGCCAAAATATTCTCCTGAACATGCAGCCTGGTTTACACTCTTACTTGCAGTATATGGGACTTTCTCACATCTTTGCCAACACGTGATACTATTAAACATTCTAATTTTTGCCAATTTTGTAGGTGTAAAATTGTTTTACATTGTTATTCTTTGAAAACCAAAACCATCTAGCACCACACACAGGTTGGACAAAGAAGTTAAACTACCCTATATTCCCTCCCACACACACCACCTAATGTTTACATTAGCATGACTTTACTGTTCTAGACTAGAAAATTTTCACTGTTCAAATGGCTTAATTGTTCACTACAAACTCCCTAAAAGATGGATCAACTCTTCAGTGGAGAGCATCAACATGGAACCTAAGATTCTCTGAAATCCTTGCCTCACTTTTCCATCAATCCTCTACTGTGGTATCATAATCTGTACCCTATTCTAATTAAGCCTCCACTCTAAAACACCCACCTTAAACTTCCAATTCTCAAATAATTCTGATCTTGCCTTTCTTCCCTATGAGACGGCCAAAGCTCTGTTGAGGTGATGTTCTCCCTTACTACAGTAAGCAATAAATCAGCATTGCTTTATCAACAGTTTGCTGAGCGTGGTATTTGGGGGAAATTTCTCCTGTGAATGACCAACTTATATGCTTTTTAAAAACCACTCTCTGCAGCCTTTTACTTGGGTCCTTCTTTATATACTACCAGATATGACGGTCACTCCCTTGTTCCAAAAATTTTTAGTGCTTCCTTATAATCCACCGAACAAAGTATGATGTTCTTAACTTCTCCTGCTATGATCTGGCTACTCTGCTCCAACCAAAGCGAGCTATTTTCTTTCCCTCACGGAGAGATGCCCTGGCCAAACATCTTTCAAAGGCCAGTTCAAACACACTTCTCATAAATTCGCTCCTTTCAGTTCCCCTCAGGACCTCTCTTCGGGCAATGACTGATCAACTTCTACCGCCTCGTCTTCTCTATTAGACTTAAGAGTTCCTGAGCAGGATGAGTACGGCCTACTGAGTATTTTTTAGATTTAACGCGTACGTGCCCAGGCACGTCGAGGAGTTTAGTTTCCTAAGAACTTGTGACCACGCCGGACAGAACACAGAAGCCACAGAGCAGGAACGTCTTCCGGCCGCCTCCCGGCTCCCGTCGGGCCCTGCGGCCCCGCTGCATGCCGGGACCTGCAAGACCGAGCCTGCGGTTAGGCCGTAGAGGCTGACCCAACAAGCCACCGCGGCGCCCCCGCGATGATGCCAATCCAGTCCCAACCCTTCCCGCTGCTCCTCAGACAAAATGCAGCTCCACAGCACTTACCGTAGAGACCATGAGGGTGATGAATCCCACCGCACACCAGCTTACCGCCACCTCCTTTAAACCACAGCTAGCTACCAAAGATGGGCGGTACCGCTGGCTCCCCCAAATTCGATTGATAAGTGCCTCAGCGAACGAAAGCCAACGCGGGATGCTATCGCGCTCCTGATTGGCTGGCTGGAGGGAAGAGGTACCTCGACTGGTGACTAGAAGGGGCCAGGCGGGAAAACTAGCTGTGGCCAGCGGGGATTGGCGGAAGGAACCGGTACTTTCTTCTCCCCCGACGTTGCTGGGTGGAGAAGCAAGGCTGGGGCGTTGAGGAGACGCAACTCGTGATTGGCGGGTGTGACTTTCTTAGGGCTCTGGCGATTGGTGGCTGGTCGATTGCGCGACGCTGACTGGACAGCAGCGGGTTAGGCTAAAAGGGGAGGCGCTTCGAGCCCGCCCCACTGCTGGGCCTACTGGCGGAAGGGGAGGGAGGGGCAGGTGGCGGTGGGGAAGATGGCGTACCAGAGCCTCCGGCTGGAGTACCTGCAGATCCCACCGGTCAGCCGCGCCTACACCACCGCCTGCGTCCTCACCACCGCCGCTGTGGTGAGCAGCTGCAGAGCCACCTTCTCATTATATGGGCTGGATATGAGTGGGTCTTCAGGAAATTGGGGTTTGGGCCTCCGGGAGGCCCAGAGGGGCTGGTCCCAGGGGTGGGTGGAGGCGTACAAGGCTTACTCTGGGGTTCAAGGTAGCGCCGACAATGCTTACCCAGTGACCAGAGAAGGGAGTGCTGCTTCTTGAGGGGTCAGTTTCTAAGAAATGAAGGCCGGACCCGCCCACCTAAGAAATGTGTCGGAGAGCTCTGACAATGCCAGGTTTTACTGTGGTGACTAGTGGGAGGAAGGTCCATTAAGTGAAGAAACTTAAGTATTGAGAAAAGCAAGCTGGAAATTGTCGAAAGGGAAACGACTTAACATAAAGAGGGTATGTAGATAATAGGGGGCTGGCTAGAGGCACCCAGCCCTAACTGTGGGAGGGTCTCAATTCTCTGATATTTCAAGTGAATTGTGTTGTTTCACGCGGCTATTTTAGGTGGTGCCCATGTAATGGGCAGATTCGTAGCAGCTGTTCTTACTTGTCCTGTGTCTAAAATACCACCTGTCTGTCTCCCATGCTTTCATGTCAGCCTCAACTATTGCAACATAAAACAAATTTATTTTGTGTTAGATATTGAGGGTACAAAGAATTGTACCAATTCTTGAAAATTCTTTACCAACCTCTTCCAGTGGCCTAAAAAGGAAAGCTTAAAGGAAATCAGACTAAGTGACTGAGAGTTAGGAATTGCTAGACCTACTAATCCTTTGTTGTAAATGTTGAAATTTTGTTTCTTGATTGATTTGCTTTAAGAAGCTCTTTTTCTATTTCAGCAGTTGGAATTGATCACACCTTTTCAGTTGTACTTCAATCCTGAATTAATCTTTAAACACTTTCAAGTAAGTGGTCCATCACAGTCATGGTTAATGCTTCCGTTTCTTATTTTTCTTACTGTTTAGTAGCAAATCCTGCCATATACTATTCCAAGAAAGAATCCAATGGGGACCTTTGATTGTAAGTCTTATTATTAGGGTGTAAAGCAGTGATTCTGCAGCCCGGCTGGGCTTCAGAATCACTTAGCGAACTTTTAAGAGATTCTCAAGCTTCTCTTCATGTACCAAATCGGAATTCGCAGGGGTAAAAATTAAGAATCTGTGTTGTATTTTTAAAGTTCCTTGCTTAGTTTTGATGTGTCCAGGTCCTTTATTAGGGTATCATTGGTCTAGAGTACAATGTTGTAATTTAAGAGGAGACTGACCAGATAGCTGCTCAAGGAGGAGACAGTCTCACATGATGGCCTAATTTTGTCCAGTTACCACCTGGGTGCACCCACCACCTTGGTGTTATCACTGTGGTCCAGTTCAGAAACTCAGTTTCATTAATGCTTTTAAGTTGATCCATCTTCCAGGGATCAGATCATACTAACAAAACTCTAAGAGATCAACATCTAAAACAACGTGCTGGTTTATTAGATTACAGTGAGAGATGGTCCTTTCCAGTGAGAAATAGTCCTTTCCAGCGATAAAAATACTAAAAGAAAGATGTATTTTGCTGTTCCAGGATGATTATACAGGTTATAGTTGGAGTGGAGGGAGGGACCCAGAAGCCAATTAACTCTGCTTCTACACATGCTGTTCCCTCTGTCTGAAATGTGTTTCATTCACTTTATGCCCACTAAACTCTAGCTTGCCTTTCAAAATGCAGCTTTTGTGTAGCCTTCTTGTATTCATCCTCCTTAGTTTTAGAGCATCTCTCACCCTTATTTGCACTTATTTATGTGCTTGTCTCCTCATTAGGATGAGGACTTTAAAATTTGAGATATAGTTATTATGAAGAACTGAATTGTTTCAACTTTAGTAGTTACCAGTTCTCAAGAATTTAATGCATAAAGCAGTCCTGTCATCTGTTGTCACTGTCTTCTTCCTTCAGTAGTCACATGCATGGCCTTTGCTGGGAGCTGTCCAAGCCTTGCTTTCTACTGGCTTGCTTGGTTTACCTTTGCCTGGGGTTAAACTCTTGATGACATTGTGCATCAAGTCATTTGGAGTTCTAGATTTTGAGATCAGAGTCTCCGTCTACAAGCTATGGAGCCTTGGGCAAGCCATTTTAAAGTTATTCAGTTCTTTTAGTTTCCTTATCTTTGAAATAAGGTAGTACCGGCTTGCTTGTCTCATAGGATTTTTTTGATCATAGGAGATAGTAGACTATGTTAAAACACTTTAAAATGTTAAATACTCTACCATTGTCAGTAGTTCTTGTGGGTGTGGATGGGTCAGGTAGGGAAGGGTGTATCAGAGTTTCCAGCAAGAAAATGAGTGTCCTTGTATCTCCTAATTAGACTCTAATTATTAGAGCATTAGTTATTGTAGGGAGTTGGCCATTTGTGTAGACTAGAACTTGAGTATTTACATGAGAATTATCCTTTTCTCTGGATGTTTCTGACTGCCTAATGTAGAACCACTTCTTGGCAATTTATATTTATGTCCCTGAAGTTTTTCTCTGGTATCTCAAGACTGTTCATTATATTGTGATACTCCATAGATGAAAGTGCTGTTTTCTGTAAATTAAACTAGTCTTTCCATCAAACTTTTTCTATAATTTACCTGAGTGTGTGATGTGGGCTTTTTAAAAGACAATGACAATTTCAATCTTCTGTCCTATTTTTATGAATTTCATGGTCCAAATGATATCTTTCAGACTTTCAACTAAAAGCAGCACAGAAATCCAGTATCAGATTGTGTGCCCCAGGTTTTGGTTCAGAACAAAACATCTCTGTGTCCAAGGTCTTTCAACCATCATAGTCTTTTTTGTCTTAATATAGAAATGTTTCCTAGTAATATGTTTTACTTAATCCATCTTTCTCTGGATTTTTTTTTTTTTAACAGATATGGAGGTTAATCACCAATTTCTTATTTTTTGGGCCAGTTGGATTCAATTTTTTATTTAACATGATTTTTCTGTATCCTTTATTAAGTGGGGTCAGCATCAAAACTTTAGATTTACTTAAGTACAATATTAAGTTGAAACTATTAATGCTGGTATTTATTTTTGGTACCATCTTAGCTGCAACTTCTGGGTCAGTGGTACATAGAGTAGTTAGATAGTAATGTTTTGAAAGTGTTTGTAGGACCCTGTTTGTTCAGATGGGAGGTTTTGACCGTAAAAAGGTATCATTTCTGCCCTTAAGTTGCTTACAAATCTGACCAAGGGAGGGGAGAAGTGATTTCATCGAGGCATACTTCCAAAATAACATCAGCAGGTACAAAGTGGTAAAACACAACCTGAATACAGTGATAATTCAATTAACAGATTTTTGGCATGGGTTTGGGAGTGGGTTCATGAAATGGAGAACTTGAGATCTCCTTGGATCTTGGTGCTGGTTCTACTGGCTGAAGAGACAGTGCTATGTCTGCCAGGCTCGCTGTGTTCTGGTTTGTTGAAAGAGAGGAAGAGCCATGCTCTGGCCAACTGAGCAGGGCATTCCTCCTCCACCCCGACCCTCTGGATTAAGAGGGGAGTTACAGTTCAGCTCATCTGCAGTGGACATAGAGGGCCTTGTAGGGGTGACAGGATTCCTGTGTCTCCTATATAGTATATCATTCTGGTAAGTTTCTAATAAAGTTTTTTTTTTAACATAATCCATCTTTATTGACAGAGGTATTAAAGTTAGGTCATGGAGAAACAAAGATGGTACAAATTAAGTTTTGGCTGAGTGTGGAAAAGACAATACAAATTTGAAAATGTTTAACAGGTGTCTAGAAGCATTTTTATGCAGCATCAGGATTCATTCCCCAGCAAGGGACAGTCTGTAAAATATGGTGCAGATTTTGACCTTGCCTAAAATACCTGGTAAAAGTAGAGTAATCACATTACCACTCAAACATTCTTCTAGAAAGAAAGGCTTGACTTCTTAATAATATGGAGTCCAGGTGGACTTAAAGTGGTAACATTAGATTTTACTTTCTTCATATTTGTGTGCTTAACATTTTCTTAACTTGGAACTTAAGATATCGTTACTGTCGAATGCTAGAAGAAGGCTCTTTCCGAGGTCGGACAGCAGACTTTGTATTTATGTTCCTTTTTGGTGGATTCTTAATGACCGTATCCTTCAATAAACAGAACAAATACAGTAAACTGTTAAAGGACACCCTGTCTCTTCCTAAAGCTTTTCCTCTGTCTCCCATGACTCACCAGATATTCTGAACAAACAGGTAAAAAGTAGACCTACAGATTTTAGCTTCAGGGAACTACCATTTATTTTACAGCACATTTTCTGTGACAGCTTTTCAAGCCTAGAGATTGGACAGGATGCTTTTCTACTGTGAGCAAGTCAGAGGAACTTTTAACCCAGGTGGGTTACTATTAAGCATCAGTTATATCATTGTTATGAGTGTACTTCACTTTTAAACTAAGTTGGTAAGACATTTATTTGGTCACTATCAGACTGGTAAATTATTTAAAAAAAAAAATACTTTTGATCTGTACAACAGACTTGGAGGTAGTACTGTCAGAGAGATAGTCTTGTTCCAGCTGGCTTTATTCACCTCTGTAAAGGTGCTAATGGTGAGTGAGCTTTAATGTAATTATTGACC